CTGATTATTTAATATTATTTCAGTTTAATATGGGAAAAATTCTGACTTGAATCTCAGAATTGTGGATCTTAATGTAGATGGACATCATGAAGGAAGAGATGTGGGGGAGCACCCAACTTCACTGACAAAGATATGAGTTGTTTGGGAGGGCCAGTGACACATTGACTGAGGGGTCCTCAGTGATGCTATTTCATTAATGGACGTACAGAAGGTGATCAAAACAAGAGAGATAGTTCAGTCTCTAAAACAGACATGGCGATGACTTGTTGCTAACTTGTTTGTTAGCTGTCAGAATTCTGAGATTAAAGTCATAATTCTGAGAATAAAGTCAGAATTCTCAGAAAAAAAGATTTTTTCTTATACTATACAGAAATAAAATGTAAAAATCAGTTAACTTTTATAATTTTTTCAGTGGCCCTATTCATCTTCCGTAAAAACATCTTCAAACTTGGAAAAAAAAAAAAGAAGTCTAGCGGTTAGTTTAAATGGTAAATACTTATATAGTGCCTTCATTCAAGTCAGGAGACTTGACCAAAGCACTTTACACTACATTTATTCACTCATTCCCACACACACTGATGGTGGCAAGCTACATTGTAGCCACAGCTGCCCTGGGGCTCACTGACAGAAGCAGGGCTGCCGTACACTGGCGCCACCGGGCCCTCTGACCACCATCAGTAGACAATGCAGGTGAAGTGTCTTGCCCAAGGACACAACAACACTGAAAGTCGGAGACAGGGCTTGAACCGTCAACCCTTCAATTTCAGGGCAAACTCCTACATCCGACGCCACTGTCACCCCAGTTTAACCCCCCAAAATCCTGTTTAGTTATTTTTAATTATAATTAGGAATTTAAAAACACTACACCATCCCCTGACCAGCTTGTTGTTTTTACGGTATGCTTAAGATAATGGAAAAAAGGGTGACAGCCTCTTAGCTATTTACTGTTTTAACTAAACACAACAGTTTGGTGAAAAGCATTTGTTTAGGAAATTACTTCATTCTACTGTTTCTGTATTTGCCTCTTTCATCACTAAATCAAAATTAATCCTAACACCTTATAATATTTTATCAGTCCAAAGTGGAAGTAAAAGTTCTAAGAAGTGGTATTATGAAGTTTTTTTTTGTAAGTCTTTTTCCCAGAACTATATGTGCTGGGCCTGCTGAGTTTGTCATTTATGTGTGTACAGATAAGAAAATGCGCTGCAGACTGATCTAACTTTGATGTAATGTCCTTAATAAAGGGGCAAAATTGGTGGATGGACTGAGACATGATGTCCCAGATGGGCTCAATTAGATTCAGGTCTGGGGAATCGGGCCAGTCCTCTTAAAAAAAAAATATCTACTGATCTAAAAGGCTGATCTTCTAACCAGTGATGGTTTTGGCAGACAGAGGCTCTGTCCTGACTGTAGTTGATTCTGCTTAGTTCTCAGCGCGTAGCAGAGGGAACAGGGAGATGAAAAACCATCTACCTTTCAGCCGTCGTCTTTTAGAAATAGGAACATCAGTTGAATTAATCCTTGCAAGAGTTCCTCATTTTTTTAAATTATTTTCTTCATGCAGATTATATGTGCACATATGTTTGTATGAGCTTGTTAAACCCTAATCATACCTGCCTGTTACATGTTAAAGGTGTAGTGGAGGATGCTCTTTTTTCCAGGTGGATCATCAAATAAGTGGTCCTTCTAATTGGGAATCATTCTGGTGATATATTTACTCTCCTCACAAAGCATTATGGGATATGCTGTCACAGAGGACTGCTGTCACCATAGGTTGTCACTACCCTACAGTGGCGACTTATAACAAAGATGGAGCAGGCACCGCGCAGTGGAGCCGGAGTTACGTGTCCAACAGAGGGCAAAAAGCAGTGATCATCTGTCAGAACGATAAGTAATTGAGTTAGCTATAAAGTCCACTATATAGTCCCGCTCTATATAGTGATTGAGGGATTTAGGGGTTAGAGTGCACAGTCGGACACAGTAAGCTTGTATGAGCTATGATAACAGCAACTTTTAAACAGAGCGTGCATGAGGAGAAATGGTCTCGTGCACGCTCTCACTTTAATAGGGAGCGGTTACAGGGTTGTGCATGTCCATTTTATTTTATTTTATTTTATTTTTTTAACAGTGTCCTGTCTGGCAATGTGGCAATAAGAATAATTGTCTTGATGCCAAAAAGAGCCCAACAGATTTTACTTTCACAAGTGTAGCAGTATGGCAATTGCCATATACAGTAGCTCCACTTGTTTCATGCATATAAATTGCTTTATTATAATTATGCAGGGAGTTTTACAGTTTATATGGACACTGCAATGCACTGCATTTTATTTTTTAAATGGAGAGAGCAGGATTAAAAAAAAAAAATCATGAAAATCCTCCCCTATACCTTTAAAACTAATGTTTTCTCAAGCAGTTTATCTAATTAGGACATTTCTTCTGTAGCATAGAAAGTTATCTTCAGTATGTACATAAAAGATATGGTAATAAAATGGAAGCACAGTGTATAAATCTTAACAGCAAGCTCTCTGTCACTGTGCATTTGAAATATCCTTAAAGTAGAACACTAATATCTTGATATGGTTGGAACCAGTGATGTCTCTTCTTATTCACAAACATTTATGATGTGATGCATGTAATGATGTGACAGGTGGAGACCCTGCAGATGTATAAAATGTTTCTTTAACTTTTATTCTTGGTCGGCTTTGTGAAGAAGCGAGATTGGTGATAAGCGCTGCCATTTGTAACCTCAGCCGTTTCTTTGGTCTAATCTGGTCTAAGATTACAATTTCTATAAAATCTCTCATCATGCCTCCCACTTAACTAATACATATACATTAGGAAGTGTTATTCAATGTGTTAGTTCCTGGTGATCTCATCTCAGGAAAGATTTGGGGATAGAAAGCTTAAAGATGTAAACAGAGAGCTTTCCTGTACTCTATAAAATATTTTTACTTCGTGCTCTCTGGGACAATTTTTTTATTTGAATCCTACATTTAGTCATTTAGTCCCAGAAACCCTTACAACGTGTTAGGAGTATTACATGGCTATAAATCATTAAAAAAAAAACAAGCATAGTTTTACCTGATTTTATAAAGTTTATTTCTTCTGCTATTGCAAGAAAAAAAAATGCAACAGAAAACAAATAAAATGAATTTTAAGGATAATGAGCCCACAGTTATTCTAACCACTAGCAGATTTTTGGTCATTTTTTTCATATTACTTACAAGATTTTTATAAATTGCTGTATGACTGAAAGTTTCCAGTGTTGAAAGCCAGAGTAAAAACCACATTCTTACATAGAATCCACGGGAAAACCTAAAGTTTATGTTGAAGAGAAAGCCGTCAAATCTCAATTGCTTATAGCTCATCTAAAAAAAAAAAAAATCAATGAAATGCCAGCTAAAATAATACAAAAGAATGGTCAGCACCTATAAGAGGGGTTTGACTGCAGTAATGCAAGTTAAGTAAATAAAAAAAATAATTGTGAAGGTAATAAATATTATTTGGCGTGATGTTTTCATTTACTTTTGCCTGTTAAATGAAAATCTGGATAGGGCATGATTAATTCTGGGCTCAACTGTCTCTGCTGGAAGGAAATACAACACAAATGATCTGGCATTTTGGTAAATGTTCTTCTAATTAAATTATCGGTTTTCTTTGGCTATCAAAATCCTTTTCAACATACTGTCAATATTACATTTAACCATCTTTTTTAAATAAACACACAGAATTTAGAGACAATGTACAAATAATCTTTTTAAGAAATATATTGCATTTTCTAATCGTATACATTGTCTTCAATGAACTCTAAAGGTCTTATTTGCATTTTTTCCCCCTGCTATATTCATTTCAATACAACCAGGAAAGTATCTGGGTTCACATTAAATCTCTCTAGATGAACAAGTTTCCAATTTCAGAGTAAAACTTGCACTAAATTGGTCTATTTTTTCGCTTTCTTCTGTCTGTCAAGGAACTTTTGCCGTCTCTCAACAGGAATCTCATCAAGACATATGCCGTGGTTACTGGACCTGGAACAGAGCAAAGAGGAATGGAGAAAGAGAAAGGCAGAGTTAATATGCTAGAAAACATTTACTTAGAATTATATTTACAATTTGTGTTTTCACAATAAAGGAAACTATATAATAATGAAAAAACATACATAAAGTCAGTGACTCTAAATATGACTCCCTATAGAAATATATTACTAATATCAGCAGTTGACATACGTTATTTTCACTATTTTTTTGTTTTAATTAAAAAAAAATTATGTGGAGACAACTCTGTGTTTTACCCTCCAGCAAGATCAGGAGGAACAGGAAGAGGTTTATCGAAGCCATCTCGACCCATCAGCCAATATGTGTCCTCTGTGCCCTTTACCTTTAAAACACACGCAGACATCAGTGTTTCACCAGACAAACTGCAGACTTGTTCAAAACAGAATGTGCAGCAATTTAAACCACTAGTATCACAGTCAGTGGGTTTACCTGTGCCTTTCTGGTGTCAATGTGATATCCCACTTTCAGACTGGTCAGAACCTTGACAGTGCTCAGACTAATGTGGATCCTGTAAGCTAAAATAAAACAAGATTAAATTAAGACTCTATCTCATTATAAAAACCAGACACAATATAGTTTGATTTTGCCACGAATAGTTGGCCCAACAAAAGGTCGGCTTATGGTTAAAAAACATGGTGTTTAGCAACAAAAAGGAGAAGGAATCCAACAAAAACCCAACATCCTTTTTTTTTTTTTTCATTTTTTACAGCACTAGCAGATCGTTTTTTTTGTACAGTGGGCTAACAGGAAAGGAGAGGGGGAGAGATATGCGCCAAAGGACCACAGGTCGAGTTTGAACCCAGGTCAGCCAAGTCAAAGACAAAGGCCTCTGTACATGTGTTGTGGACACTACCCACTGCAGCATCGAAGTTCACCCCATTCTCAGGAACTTTGGTAATTCCACAATGTCATCCTATTTCCTTCTAAACTTCCAGTACTATTCATATAGCACTTATAATGGTGACAGGGGACACACTTCTGCTGTGGCCTAAGTGTCCTTAGCGTTCTGAAGTATTTGGATAAAGCCTCAGCTCTGCCTAGAGGGACAGAACAGCTACATTTCTGTATACCTGCAAATATTATTTATTCATGGACAAATAAATGCCCACATACATTTACAGTTATGCTTAAAGGTTTACATACCAGCCTATTAAACATAGTGATACATTCAAATGAGTAATTAAAATAAAATAAAACAAAAAAAAACACAATTAGAAAATAAACTTGTCAAATAAAATATAGATTTTGAGTTTTGTTTAAATAATTCTGGAAAAACAAACTGTCCCAGACAAATAAAAGCCCCTTACTCTTAAACATTGAACTAATATAACTGTCAACAGGTCCAGAAATATATATATATATATATATATATATATATATATTCATTTCAAGACTTCAATATTTTATTATTTTTATTTATCATTATTTCAATCTACTTTATAGGCAGCTGAATTTTTTCGTCTTTAATGGAAGTTTATGTACACTTTCAAGCACAACTGTATGTATATATAAAAATATATATAAATACAAAAACTGCTCTCAACCACAAGTCCACAAATCACACATCTTGCTAATGTTTTTTTTCTTTATAAATGTTATTAAAAGGTGAACCATTTGGTATTTAGTAGACATTGTTATAATTAATCCAATATTAGAGCAACTTGTCGCCATCCCTTCTGTTGTGTTTCTATCTTAAAATCGTCACTCCCTGCTTACAGCTTAATGACATTAATTTTGTGTTAATAAATTTTTGAAAATACAAAAGTAAAACCTCAAAGAAAAGAATCAAAATTTTGAATAAAGTTACCCTTGTGGGAAATCAATCACTGATTAAATGCTACATCCAATTAGACTTACTGAAAATACCACGGCAGCCTTGTAGTGATATATCTGAGTGAAGACATTTAAATCCTGTGTTAGTCGGAGCCTAGGTAATTTCACTGTTTATTCTTTAGTCACCATATAATTAAATAAATGATTACAGCTTAAAAACGCCACAAACATATCCACTTAATCAACTATTGTTACTCGCAGATGGTTTGGATTAGATAATTCATTTTTAAACAATAAATTAACAAATTTGGGGAGCAGCTATAGAATATGCTGCTTTTTCTCTGAAAACTAGGTACCCCCAATATAATGTTACCACCAATAGTTTAGATATATCGCTTTTACTGTATGTTTACCAGTCCTGGCAAAATGACATGGCATGATCAGCAGACGGAAAAACATGAAACCAATGAAGCTGGAACCAAAAATAAATCAGACTAAAAGAAAACCTGTGGGTGGGATTGTCTCTGGGTCGTTTCTGTTTAAAAAATACTATTCATCATAATTCACTCAAGTAAAAGCAATGCAAGTAAGAAAACTAGCAGGTCATTTTTATTTTTTCAAAGCTTTACTTTAGTTAATTTAAGTGTAGTTACTACCCACCTCTGGATAGGTATTTGGAAAGAGGAAAACTTAAGTTTAAGTGTTCATCATAAGGAAAAAGATACTTTGATATCTCTCTTTTCTCTGGTAATTTCAAAGAGAATATCTAAAGATATTAGATTTCTTCTTCAAATGAGAGAAAGCATCCAATCAAGTGAAAAAAGAGCTGTTAAACTGTATTCCCTTGTTATTGTATTCATAACAGAGATATACTTAGAAAAACATAGTATTAAACCAAATTTTAAGTTGATCCATGGGTTTATTTGTACTCACGCAGCCCGCTGGATTCCATGATGGACGCTGTGGTCACCGTATCTCCAAACAGACAATACCTTGGCATGGTGAGTCCAACCACGCCTGCAACCACTGGGCCTGAACACATTAAACAGTTTTTTTTAATCTTTTGGTTTGCAACTGCCTGGTACTCCAGAGATGCAGCTATTATTTAATTGTGTTTTTGGCTAAAATCTTTTCACCAAAATGCCATTGGAAAGCATGTCTTTAGTCTCCCCTATACTGGATCAGTCCATATCACTGCATATGCAAAAAGGATCAAGCAAAACAGCAGCAAAACATAAATTGGAAACAAAGCAAATAGAGAAAATAGAATAAAAAGAATTTGAAAGAGGCTACTCCAGTGAAACTAAATAAGTAAACGTTTATTTATATGGCCTATTTCACAGACACTAGGGTCACTAAGTGCTTTAAAAACATGGAAAATTTAAAGGTAAAACAGTAAAAATCATCATAACATAATAGACAAAATGAAATAGCGGACACATTTGATTATGAGATCATTCTTGAGTCTGCTCTTAATAGTATCCGCAGAATGAATAGAGCATAATAGAGGTTGAGATTGTTTCGGAGCCTTAGTACGGGAGCCTGGAGGGAGCGATTGCCTCTAGCTCAGAAACGGGTATAAGGGAAAATTAAAAAATTCTTTTTCAATGACCTCAGCCTTTGAGAAGGGATCTAGGGGCACAACAGAGCTCTAATGTCTTGGAGCGCCTGACCATGGCAAGCTTTAAAAGCCACAATCAAGTTTTTAAATTGAGGAGAGAAAGCACTGGGAGCCTGTTGTTGGAAAATTTTTATCTCTTCTATTATATATTAATTTATCCTATTTACTCACTATAAAAGTTTTCACTCAGTCCGTTTCACTTTCAAGGCCACACCATTCTCTGCAGGATGG